GTGATGATGAAGGTGCTCGAGAAAAAAAAGGGTGGGGGGATTCTGAAAATATTTGCCAAAATTAGAGCAATTCCAACCTGGAAGGCCACAACCCTTCCGACGCCAATAGGAACGAGATGCCTGGAAAGTGCATTTTCAATAAACTGTGGCTTCATCAAGCTGACTACAAAGACTGGATATTGATGGATGACAATCCTTATAAAGCTAAATGTGGTCTTTGTCTGAAACAAATTGAAATTTCTAGAATGGGAGAGTCAGCGCTGAAAATTCACATGAAAATTAAGTTTCGTTTTATCATTTCAATTTGTTTTTACACGGTTTTGCTTAGCTTAATTTCTGTGTTTGTTTCAATTAAGCCATAAATTAATTTTTTATCACCTTCTACGGAGTTTATTCTCTTTTGCACATACTATATGTATGGGATATCAGGATTATGAGTTTATTTCTGCAGAGGGTCTGTTATCGATTTCGCGGGAAATCTGTTGGCTCCATTTCGATTTTAGGTCGCCAAGGGCAAATTCGGTAACGCTAGCCGAGAAAAAGTGAAGTTCGGAAATACGTTTTGAAGCTTCAATAGACAATTAAGTATTTGGTTTAATCCTGTGCTGTTGATAGTAATGCATTATTTTTGCTAATGGCGATACAATTATTAGTTGAAAACACTAACTAATTAAAAAATTTTTTAATATTTTTAAAGCTGAAAACAACTAATTGAAACTAATTTTTCCTGAATTAACTAGACGCAAAAATTAACTTTCATGAATTACTAAAGTTATTGGGTAGAAGTTTAACTGAAAATATACATTCCGTATATATATATATATATATATATATAATATTATACAGTACAAAGTCCGAGGTCGGGACTTCGGCGATCCCAGATTTGAGATTTTTCCGGATATTAGATCATTTTAAATCTACTAAGATGGCACGTAGAAATTATAAAATTGAAAATATGAAATCGTGATTTATGAAATAATGAAGCATTTATGATTTAAAGGGTATCAAAATTTACAAAAGAAAAGAGCTTAATATTTATATGTTTACTTTATTAAACATTTCTTTCAATGTGAGTTGTTTGATTTGTTTTCTCTGCTGAATACTTTAGACTAATACTATAGACATATAATTTCTTGTTCAGTTATTAAGTTCCATTGTTCAAGTCCTGTAATTGCTGTGTCGAGAATTCCGAATAACTTGTCAATCAAAATTTTTTCTCTCGTTCAGTAACCTCTCTGTTACTTTCTTAACTATCGGTAGCTGTATTTTGTGGATTTAGAACCATACTACAGATTTCGCCCTCCGTTGATTGATTGATGATTGGGGCATTGTCATCGCAATGAAAAACTTCTGTTTAACTCCCCTAAATTCTGCCGCCTGGTGCGGCCATGCGAGGCACTGGTTCTGGCTTTATGTGAATAACAAATCAGTTATTCTTAATTCAAATAGCACTAAATATAATCGGTTGTCCTATGAGTATCATTAAAAAATCTATTTTCAGCAAAGACATTTCTGTTAAATCTCCCCTTGTCAACATTTTAGCGCATTAAACTTAAATCTGTAATCGGATAATACTCTGTTATTTGGCGTCGCTGCATGAGTCATCACTCAAGTTGTCATCCGTTGATTAACATGCGGTGATGAAAGCAAAATACAATAAATAATGATTCGCGATTTCGGCATCAAATATATAAAATATTAGTTGGTGTAAAATTAACAAATGTTTCGGTTTGAGATTATGCCAAGCAGATACGCAGCTATGGAGTCAAGTTACTAATCACACAAATTTATTTATGCTAAAATAATTATTTCTTCAATAATGAGATTTTATTTATTTAGCGCCAAACTGAGATTAAGAATCGGGATTTCCGACATGTTTTTTTATGATGAGGAAAAAAATCTAATGCGCATGCGTAAAGCATACCCCTTCCCTCCAAAAAAGCCCTAAAAAATTGGTTGGTGGTGGCTTTGAGGTCCGGATTTTAGATCATTCCAGATATTGGATGTCCGGATCTCGGAATTTGTACTGTATATATATATATATATATAGTAAAAAATGTATATTTTCAGTATAGATTTCTTATTATATATATATATATTTCTTATTATATATATATTATATGTGATACTTAATTTTACTAATGCCTTGCATGTAATGCCCCTTTTAGCTGCAAAACATCTTTCCCTTCTCAACTGCAGAGTTTCTTCTAACAGTATCATGAATTTTGTCAAGTTAGAAGAACCATCTACTTCAGGAAAAGATGTAACTGCTAATTCAACATCAATAAGTGTAGAAAATAATAAAATCAATTCTTTTTCTTTTCAAATCTGAAGTTACAGATGCAGAAATATTGTGGGCTTTTAAGTGCATCAAAAGCCACTATTCTTTTAAATCGTGCGATGATATTGGGCCTTTATTCACTAAAATGTTCCCGGATAGTTCCATTGCAAAATAGTTTTCATGTGGTGAAAAGAAATGTGCTTATATCTGTTATTTTGGTCTTGGCCCTTATTTTAAAACTTTGTTACTAAAGCATTGTAAAAATGCTGAGTTTTTTACATTACTATTTGATGAGACTCTTAATCTGACAAATCAAAAGAAGCAACTAGATATTTATGTGAGGTACTGGCATCACGAAAATAAGGTCAGAACTCAGTACCTTACTTCTGCATTTATAGGGCATGCAAAAAGTGAAATTATTTTATCCAAATTTTATGAATGTGTTGAAAAACTAGACTTGTCAAAACTCTTACAAATATCGATGGATGGTCCTGCAGTAAACTGGAAATTTTATGATTTATTGCAACAGGACTTGACAAAGGAATATAAATTCAATGCTTGACATTAGGGACATGTTTTACACATTCTTAACAATAATGCTTTCAAGCATAGGGATGTCATCCACTGGCTGGGACATTTCATCATTCTTATCCTCCTTATATTGGATTTTTAAAGATTCTCCTGCAAGACGTGAAGATTTTTTTAAGTATATCTGGCTTAAAAAAGCTACCTGTGAAGTTCTGCTTTTACCGATGGTTGCAAAATGTCCCAGCAGTTGAAAGAGCCATTGAAATATGGGATGACTTGCTACTGTACATTAAAGAAGTTGAAATGGGGAAGTTTAAAAAAAAAGAATTCATCGAAATCCTTCTCAAATATTTTGGAGGCAACTAAAGATAAAACATTTCTTATAAAATTAAATTTTTTTCTCTCTCTGTCGAAAATATTTTTGCCTTTCCTTGAATATTATCAAAGTGATAAACCACTTATTCCCTTTTTTGCTGAAGATATCTTAAAACTTGTAAATGATTGCCTTCAGCACTTTAAAATTTTGAAATTAGAATATTCAAAAATAACTAAAGCAGAAAAAATCTTTATAAATTTAATTTTAATGATCCAAATTGTTATAATGATAAAAGTAAAGTTTATTTGGGATTCATTGCTGAGCAGTTAATGAATGATAAATGCCGCAAGAAGGACATTTCACAAGCTGAAAGTTTTGCATTGAAACAAGGTCAACAATGTGTCTTAACAAGTACAACAACACTTAATGTCTAAATGTCCAATAAATTATTCTCTTATTCAAAATGCATCTTGTATAGACCTGCGATTGATGGTTAAAAGTCCAGAAAAAGCCCAGAACAAAATGAAAATAGTTCTAACGGTATTAATGCAGAATAAACGTGTTTTACAAGATGATTGGGATGAAATTCTGCTGCAGTTTGGAGAGAAGTTAAGACAAATTTACATGAATTTTCTACTTTTGATCCTCAAAATCTTTCTCTTGACACATTTCTCACTTCTTATTTTCATGATTTTCACTATTCAAAAGTATGGAAAATAGTGAAAATGATTCTTATCTTGTCATATGGACAGGCCTCTGTGGAAAGGGGCTTCTCTGTAAATAAAGCATTGAAATTGAAAATTTAAATGACTCATCGTTCATTTTTCAACACACAGTATTTGATTACATAAAATTTTCTGTAGTTGTTCTTAATATCGAAATTAATAAAGAAATGAGATCAGCAGCAGCTTCTGCAAGGTCTAAATACATGCAGTATTTAGAAGAACAAAAATCTTTAACTAAATCTGAAAATTCAAAGAGGAAAAAGAAATCATTGAGGAAGAAATTGATTTATATGAAGCAGAAGAAAAAAATTTCTTCAAAGGGACATTAAAGATATTAATGAAGAAGTAGATGCTTTAGCAGATGAAGCTGAGACCAGCATGAACATTGATTTGTTTATCAAAGCAAATGAACTTAGAAGAATAGTTAAAGAAAAGGAAATAGACATAAATAAATTAGATGTTAAAATAGCTGAAAAGATTTCAGATTTAAAAAAAAGCACAAATGTTTTGTATCTTTTATTGTACAGTTTATTATTCTAGTATCTTTCAAAAAAAAAAAAAAAAAAAAAAAAAAAACCAAGGAAATAAATTGTATGTTTACAAATCAGTTATTTTAATCTGCAAAATATTCTTACATTGTGATTATAATAGTAGTTGACTGTGTTTAAATAAATATCAAATAAGTTAATAATAATCATGTAAATCTCTAGTGACTGTTATTAGTGTAAAATACACTTATACATGTTTTTAAAGAAATTATGTTCCTAATTTAATGTTATCTACTTCATAACTTGTAGGGAGTTAGTTTAATTATCAAAATTGTTTTATGGTATGTATTAAAGTAAATTTAATAATAGTGCATAATACACACTTCTGTTAATTTCTTAAAGTGAAATTACAAGCATGAAGTCGGTTGTATGGATAATTGCTTTATTCTATTTGTTTTTTTGTTTGCTGATAGGTCCTTAATTTTTTCTTTGATGGTCCTTAAAAGTCCTTAATTTTCATGTAAGGAAATGTGTACGAACCCTGAATATATTATTTAAAACTACTTTCATAAAATCCTTTAAATTGATCTGTTCTCTTTATTTAAACTTCTAGAAATTCATGATATATTCTCTAAATACATAGAATTCATTTACACTTTTAGGCCCATGATTTGCCTCCAGAAAAACTGAAGCATCGAGATGTAGTTTTTATTGATATTGCCAATGATCCAGTTGAAAGTAGGGTAAGAATTTTTATTAATAACATCTAAATTTTGACTGCAAACATTTGATGGCTAAAATATATTTTTAAAGAAATTGGATGATATTAAATGATTTTGAAATTACTGAAAGGTAAAATCATAATTATGCTGTTAAAAGGTGTGATTTATTTGTATGTTTTGAGAGGCTGAAGGATTTGAATTTTATTTTAAGATTTAAATATTACTTCATTTGAACTGATTATAAGATTAATAATAAAGTGTAGAATGCAGTCAATTAATTAATCTTTAAATCAGTCTGGTGTTTCCAAGGTAGTTCTTGTGCATTTTATTTATGAAATTTATGAAGTATTTCATTGAATATATTATTTTTCAATATATTTAAACATAGAAATGCTTCTTAAAAATTTCATCTTATGATGTTTGAAAATTTAAGTTTTTTGCTCTAACTTCCTACGTGTATTGTTGCAAAAAAATTTTCCTCATTTTAAAAAATATTACTGTATAAATAGATATATGTTTGTGTATCTTGTGTTCTACTTAAAACAATTTCTCATGCTCAAGTCTGATTTAAAAAAAAATGCTGAAAATTGATTTTCCCTTATTACAAATATGTTCTACTTTTGATATGGTTATCAATTGTGTACGAGAAAGACGAAAGCCAGTTTCTTTGGGTTAAATTTGGGTTTAAATGAGCTTCACTATAGAGATGGGGGGGGGGAAGTATTGGAAAGAAAAGTGTTCTTAGTCTTTTTTTAGAATAAAGAATTTTGAATTAATTTTTTTCTTAAATTAATCATTCACTTTCTTTCTGATTACTAAAAATAAAGTTTCTGATTTATGTTAGGATTACAAAGAATCAGAAGATCCAACTAAATTTAAGTCAGAGAAGACAGGAAGAGGACCATTAATAGGAAACTGGCAGGTATATTTATAGAAACTGTATGTTATATCAATTATTTGTATTCTGAGTACTTTAATGAAATATTAATATTGGATTTCATGTATGGTATTGAAGCATCGGAATTTGTGAATAATTATTGTTCTTTACTAACGTTTCAATTGATTTGTTACTTATATTTTAAACTGTGATGCAATATGTGATTTTGAAATTTCTGGTTGATTGATATTCTCTTTAATTTAATGTTTGTGTAGGAGAATCCATTATCTGATTTTAAGTTGGTGTATCAAAGTTTTATTTTAATGCAGAATTAATGTTAATTTTTTTAAAAAATTGAACCATATACAAAAACATAGATTTAATTTTTAAAGATTAAAAAGTGTCTAAAATTATAGAAATTTTCTTATAATATTCCATAAGATTTCATTTAAAAATAACTTGTTTTTCTCACTTTAAGAAATAATGAAGAAAATCACCCTTCCCTTCAAATCAAATTCTTTAAAAACTCGGTTTTTCTTAATTTTGAGACAAAAGTATATTATTTTGCTGCTTCATATTTTCAAGACTGTTAGTTTATACTTTTTTCTTGTTTATTCAATTTTAAAACAATTAATATCTAACTAAGTAATTTTTTAATTATCATTAAACATTTAGCTATCTTCAATTTTGTTAAATTCTCTCTCTCTCTCCTTTTTTTTTTTTTTTTTTTTTTTTTTTTTTTTGGCGGGATCTGAAATTATTTTAAAACTGTGTAATTAAATTATATGTAATTTTACAGATGATCTCCCAGATGTTTAATGTTGATATATAATCTCCTCTTTTTTACATTTGAGCTTTTTACAAAAATTTTAAAAGCTGCTTTATGTTTTATGTATAAATAAATGTTAATTGCATGTATTTGAAGATTTTATAAAACATGTATTTTAGTAAATTAGCATGTAATTGAAACAGTTACAGAAGATAAAAGTAATAATACTAAGTTTAAAAGAATTTTTATCAAGAAATTTTTGTCTTAAATATGAAATTTGTATTTAATTTAATGAAGATTTAAATTAAAAAAGTTTTCTCGTATCAAACACGTTTAAGACCCAAATTATCTAAAATTTCAAAAATAGTAATACAAAAATTGAATTTTTAATAATCTTGTAAACATCTTCCTTAGACTGATAAGTGCAATCAAGAATTGCTTTCAATTGAAATTAAAGTGCATAAAAATTATTAAAATTATATGTATGACAAAATTTTTATTTGATCATGGTAATGATTCATGTATCAGATTTTTAACAATAGCCATGTATTTTTGTTATAAAATCTTTTTTGTTAAAATTCTTTATGTAATTGACAAAATATGTATTAAGGTAAATGTTTAGGGGCTGTATATTTAATTCATTATCAGATTGTGCTAAAATTTAATTTAAAATAGTGTATTTGGAAATAATAAATGTAATACTTTTCTTATAACAAAAAAGTGAGAAATAGTTTTTATCTCCTTTACTACCCTTTTAAAAGTAAAAGGGAGAATATAGTAATAAAGATTTCATTAAATGGTTTGTTGATGAAATTTTGAGATTTGTTTTTAAAAAAATATTATTGTGTACAATTGTAACATGTAAGTACATTAAGTTTAATAAGATTCTTTTTCAGGTAACTTGGAGGTCTAAAGTTCTGTGTTATTCATTATTCTTAGTATCTCAGTAGCTTTTTGAACATGAGATCATTCTAAGTTTTCATAATCTTGTCTGGCTAGGAATGCTTTTCCTTAAATTGCATTTAATTTTCATTAATTTTAGTACTGAGGTTTTTAAACACTAGTTTTAATGCAAGTGTTTTTTCTTCTAATAGCATATTTCTTTTCCTATAGTTATATTGCATTAAAAATCCCAGTTTCTTTGTATAAATAAATTTGTCATAAAATTTTTAAAATTTAAAAAGAATAAATATTAAACTTCTGATTTGCTTTTCAGTTTATTTAGAGCCTGTTTTGTTATTTTATTTTCTTAGATTGTAAACTAAATCAATGTAAAAATGCTAAATTAACACATGATGGAAACGTAAAAAATCACAACTTACGCTTAACTTTATTCATCTAACTCATTTTAGTGCATGAAATTAAGGTAGCATTAAATTTTCTGTTATTTAATGCACTGTTAACATATGTCATAAAAGATCAAAAGTTTAAAATAGCAGATGTATTATATTTATACAATTTGTGCTTCAGTTTAAATTAAATGAGACAGAATCAAACAGAATAAAGGTTTCATAGAATCAAACCAAATTTAGAGGAACTTAATTCCTCCTGTCAAATTTGCATCTCCAATCAAATCAAAAAAGAGAGGGTGCAGTGGGGAGTCTGCGAAAAGCGAAAAAGGCACATCATGTTTGTGCTAGATGCTAGCGCCAGATCTGTTAATTGTCAAAATAATTCCCACACACTTTCCACCTGAACTCTATCAAGAGTTAACATCAGTCTACTAATTATCAAATTTATATCAAATGCTAAATCAATAACATCAGCAAACTGATTTCAACTAAGTAATAACAAATATGCATTTAAATCCAAATTTTTCAATTAACAATTACTACAGGCAATTCAGTCATTGAATATCCTATATTTTCCAACATAATTGGGGAATCAAGATGCAAGAGAAGCATGCCGACATGGAAAAACAGGCAAATCAACAACCTTATTCCTTATAAAATATCATAAAATAATATATAAATATATAATATAAAATATCATAATAAATCATCAACCTTATAACCTTATTATGTATTCGGCGTAGATTTTGTAAAATCCCAATCGATTTCGAGGGCAAAACGTGTCCCCCTTCATCAGGAGCAAAAAATTCTGCGAAAGCGAATGTCGATCATATTTATATCCTACAGGCGACCAGTAGAAGAGCCGATGGTGCCATCTGTCAGCAGAAATTGTAACAAAAAATGAAGGGTTAAGTTAGTAGAATTTTAAGCGCATTAGGCAAGACTGGATTGGAATTAAAGTCATTGACTAAACAAATAAGAAAATCCAATTCCCTAATAGAACTATCTTTCTGGATAATTTTAGCAGAACCAAAATCAAAATTGTGATTGAATTTCAAACTATGATTAGCTATTGAAGATTTGTTAACTTCGCCTTTTTGGACGTAAGATAATAAAGAAAAATAAATCTTATGTCCAAAAAGGCGAATTAACAAATCTTCAGTAGCTAATAGCTGGAAAGTACAGGAACCATCATATATACTTTGACATTTCACCCCCTAGTTTTTCTTCAACCATATGATTCAGAAACATCCGATTCTATAACAGCAATATGCGGTGTACGGCTGGATAGAAAAATATATGTGACAAAAAAGAAAGTAACAATTATACCTGTCTTCCTTAAAATATGGAATGCAGTAACATTAGCATATATATCTACAATTTTTTAAATTTATTAAGTTCATTTTTTTCCATCTCTTCAGTAATTTTTCTTTCTTGTTTCTCAAGTGGTAAAATTTGATAAATTAGTGAGTATATGAAAGTAAATATGGCATTTATTCATTCTTTTTTAGCAGAGTTTGCCAAATTAGTGAACTGTTATAGAACAGTAAAATCTGCACCTGGGGAATATTTTAATATTTTTTGTGTTCAAATAATCCATAGGGAGTTTCTATTGGATTTCTTGAATTATTTTAATCTATTCTTGCTACTGAAAGTATTCTTTCAGCTGATATTGGTGAAGGAGGGAGGCATTATACAATCTTAATTAATGTTTTTAAATTAAGAAAATAAATTGCTTTCTTGTAGTTTTTCATTTTAAAAGTTTTGTAGAGGTTTTTTTTTTTTTTTTTTTTTTTTTTTTTAAATGGGAAAAATTTAGCTATGCCTTCAGTGGGATTCAAACTGCAGATCTTTCAGTTGCTTGCTGGACTTGCTAACCATTTATGCTATGAGTACATGTCAGAGAAATGAGATAATTACTTATACCATTATTATAAGTAACTATTAGTTTTTAATTTGTTTCGATATTTCTATTATCTTCAAAACTTGTAATTATGTGTCAAAGCTTTTCATAACTGTTTATTCAGTAACATTAGAAAAGTATAAGACAAATTGCAATTTATAGTAAAATTAGTTTAATTCATGCATTTTAAGATTCAGCTTCTCTAACTTTTAAATATATGACCTTTGGAATTAAACCATTAAAAAAGGACCTAGTTGCATAGAAAAACAAACGTCTCACCTTGGAAGTGTCTCATATCTCTAACTTACTTTTACCTGAACTCATTAGAAGGCTTCTGTGCTTGCTCATAAATATGAATTTTAATTGAAATATTTGTAGTATATTCGAATATCGTGAAATATTTCATAATCATTTTCATTTTATCATCCAATGATTAAATTTTAAAAAAAGATGATGATAGTAATTACCATGATAATTTAAATTTACAGCTTTGGATTGAATGAGTGCTAAGGAAAAAAAATTGGCTTGATTAAGGGATTTTGTTAATACTGCCTGAATATGTGATTTAGAGAATGAGAAGGTTTATGAAGAGTTAGAGGGAAGGGGAAAAATAGAAGTCATGCTTTATGGTATTGAATTTAACATGTTGGAATTTGAGATAAGAAAAATATCAGACCCATACATTTAACTTTCATGCTGTTAGTTATTATTAACTAACAGCATGAAAGCCATGTAGCGGTTAGTTATTATTAACCAACCGCTACATGGCCAACCTTCGTCTGACTTTAAACGTACCGTAAAGATGCCTAAAGGGAACACCAAATATTAAATCTAAAACCTGTTGATAATTTTACTCTGCAAAACATTTTTATCCCCCCCCACAAAAAAAGTATCACATATTAAAATAATTACAATGAAATAAGCAATATCCCATAATACAAATATTAATTATCCTAATAAATAAATTAACCAGCTTCCCGTTGCTAAATCCTAAGAATTCAAATGGTATAAAGGAAGTTAAAAATTTTGTTTCCTAAAAAAAATCATGCAAAACTTTATCTCAGATTTTCAAGAGAAAACAGTCAGCAATCCAGTATGCAAAGCAATGAATGAAAAACCGTTGCCAAAACCACATTTCTAAAAGAATGAAACTATCATCAGAGAGCAATAACCAATCAAAATTGTGCTTTGTTTATGACATAATCCAAAATATACAAACCTCTTTGCCATTAGCTAATAAAGAGAGAGAGGAAAAAAAGAAAATTCTTTCTGTTGTGCATCGCAAGACACGTGCGTCAAAATAAGAAGATTGTGATGTGCGTGTTGCATGTCCAAAAATCAAAAGAAAATAAGCAGCATGAAATAAACAATATTTTATCTCATAATTTTCAAGTCAGCAGCACAGTATACAAAGTATTGAATGATAAACTGTTGCCCAAACCACATTTCTAAAAGAATGAAACTATTCAAAATAATGCGATTTCATTAAAAAAGATAAAAATAAAATTAAAAAAAAATATGATTCGAATTTTGAAAAAATCGCTTCGAAGTGTACTGACTCTTGTCTAGACCTAAGTACCAAATGTATGTCTTGCACCTATGTACCAAATTTCGTAGCCCTGGGTCTATTAGGTTACGCGCAACACGAACGAAAGCCACACACACACACAGACAGAATTTCTTTTATTATATTGTTATGGATTTGGTATTTAAATAGCTAATGTTAGTAGAATTATAAATAAAATTGTTTTAGTCCCTATGCAGTGCAGCACATGATGAATATTAAAAGAAAGCTAATCCAGAAAATTAAACATACAAGAGCACGTGCATTTAACATTTAATAAATAAATATCTCTTTTTGATTTTGAGAAATAGCTAGAATAATTGTGCGTGATTTACAAAGCTTATAAAAAGGAGGAAAACCTTATAATAATAACTACTGTGAGATATTGTAATTCTGTACAAAAATCTGAGGAAATTTAGGCATTTTGTTTTATTTGTTGTGATAACAATAAATTTTGTTCATTTTTCATTGGACTTGTGCATTCAATTCATAACGAACTCGTACGCATGCAACAATATGTAGAGATTATTAATATTTATGTTACTCAAAAAAGATGAAAGTATCATATTGTTTGTGAAAACACAAAAATATTAAAAATTTAGAAAATACTGATATAGTATATAAGTACTTTTGGGTGTCAGACCGGGCAGATTATTTTCATAACCTTTTATTTTGGTTAAAAAATAGTTGTACAAAGTTTAATAATTTATGTTACTTCTTTGGAAGAAACACTGTTTAAAATGAAACTCAAAGTTTGGAGGAAAAAAAACTGTTTGAAGGTTTCAATAATGATATTTCATTTTTGGAAAATGAGAATTAAAACTGTGGTGTAGAGATTGGCTGTGTTATCAACTTAATCCTCTTTCATGTAAAAATATACTTTTGTATTAGTTTTCTGGAAAAAATTAAAATTTTTGAATTGCATATCCCCTTCCCAAGTAGTTGTGTATTGTGTTAATAAGATATTGTAAGTTCTTGAATTGTGCATATATTTAGGGCTTTTCATGTTATAACTATGCATTGTCTGCAGTAAAGTTTTACTTTTTTTTCCCTCTTGATAGAAAAACTGTACTCCTATAATGTGTGCCTATAAATTAGTGACCGTAGAATTTAAGTGGTTTGGACTACAGAATCGTGTGGAATCTTTCATTCAAAAGGTAAATTTTAGTTGATTTTTGTAAATGAAATACACTTTGCTGAAATGTGCAGTGTGCTTTTTTTCTTTTGAAGCAAAAGTGTTTCAAATGATTATTAAACATATAAACTGCTGTGTTGGACACATGTGATCAACACTTCAAAGTACTTCTTATGAGCCATGAGTCACTTGTGGTTGACAACAGATTTTGTTTTATCTTAAAATATATTTATCTTGGTCACTTTTCTCACGGGCTATGTATCAAATATGATTGATGCTGCATATTGCATTAAACATGACTGACTAATACTGTACTGGGGATGCATCAAGCTACCTGCAACTGGCATTTTTACCCCCCCCCCATTGTTGCTTTGTGGGCAGGCCTTGAAAACATTACAATAGCAATTTCTAAATGTTGCCTATCATAACATCTAGTTACATTTTTCTTTTTTCTGTTATACCTTTTTTTGTAATGCAGCAGTATACATGGAGGGCTGACAAACATGTAAGAGGTTTTCTGAAAGAAAAGTTGTGTACTACTTTTTATAATAGAAAAACTTATTCTTGCATACCTAAAATATTTGTAAAGTTGAACGACTCATAGCTGGAGTCATTCTTTTCCTGTTCTGAATTTACATGTGTATTAATCATTTATTAAAATTGATCTTTTTGTCAGGTTTTATTTAGTTCACTTCTAGTATTTCACTGTGGTTGGATCATTTATTCTTAACCTAATTCCTGATAAGATTTTGAGTTCAAATCTCATACAAATACTATTTGTTGATGACAATGTAGTGTGTTGAAGCAATTTTTGAAAATTTGATTTAAATTTTTGGTACTGTTTCGTTCCGATGAGCGTAAAGAATTGCGGCGAAAATGTATGCAGAAAACCGCCAAATCTAGCAAACACGCCTATTTAACAGCGAACCAAATCTAGCGTACGGGCTGATTTCAAATTGCGTAAGTATAGATAGAGTTCTATATTTCTTAAGACGCCATTGAAATACTAGTTTAATTTTTAAATCCTGTTTTGATTTTAAGTCATTTTTTGATATTCTATGGATTTAACAATTTGGGAATTGCCCATGACGAAAACTCTGCAATCCATGTACACATCGACCTATTTTCACTTAAAAAAAAATCCCAGAATTGCACAAAAATGGCACTGCGCACAACCCTTGACTTTATCTGAGTACACATCGGCCAATTTTCATTTAAAAAGTAAAAGAAAATTGACAAAAATCCAATTGTTTTTACCTTTGTAAAAAGGACCAAACAAATAAGTGGGCGATTCTGCACTTTACCGAGAATATTTTCAAAGAAAAGGCATTATTCATTATAGAAAATTATGTTTGAACAACCAAAGAGATGAAATTATGCTTTAACGATAACTCGATAGCGAAATAGCGATGAAGGAATCCATTTGATTATGTTTAGCTTTTTTTTTATATAAATTATAATAATGATCTGAAATAGTTATTTATTTTTATGCTTCTATTCAGTTATGTTTAGCCTTTTTTTATATAAATTATAATAATAAAAAGGTATTATATGAAATTAAAATAATAATCTTTAAATAGTTATTTACTATTATACTTCCTTTCTTGTGTTAGGGTTACCACAGTACTGGCATCAACAATAGTTTGGTCGGTCCTCAAAACGAAATAGTACCAAATTTTTTTATTTAATGTTTAAACGATTTTTTTTGCACATATCTTTGTTTAATTAACAAACTAGAAATATCAGAATTTCACTGTTTGCACCATCAAATAAGAATCTTTTAAGTAAATCTTGTATTAAGATTGGAATTTATTATCGGTTTTGAAAATTGCTCGATTTTTTTTTTAAACTACCTGCATTTTTACAAGCTGTTATTTAACTCCTTCACAGTGTTTATCAGTATGGCCAAAATTTTGCCATTGACTTTTCTGCACCATCAGATGCATTGGGAAAAAGTCTTTTGAATGAAATTCATTTAACATTTTTAATGTAATTTCTGTTTTTTTGGTAAAAACATTACAATACCATTTCCCATCACAGTTGGAAGTAAAAGAGTAACTAGTCATTGTTGAAAAACAATCTTTTTAGTTTAATAATTTCATTGATTTGAGGCTGAAAAGAAAAATTATTTAAAAAATGTTTTTCAAAACTAAGTTTTTATTTAAAACTTGTAAAATAATTAGAGATTTAATGATAATCAACTTGAGATAGTGAATGAAATTAAATATTTAGGTGTTTTGCTGAACTGTTAGTTATAATGTTTTCTTCTCTTTTGCCAAATTTCAATCATTGTATATGTTTATTTTGCGATGCATAAGTTACAAGGATAGCCTTTCTGATTGCTCCAGTTTTCATTTTTATTGTTTACTGCCCTTGTCTGCACTTCCTCATCCAATTGCAAGTACAAATTTTGAAATAGTAGAGATATTTATGAAAATGCATTCTCAGTATACAGATCTATCTATACAGATACAGTATGATATACAGATGTTAGCAAAACTGATGATACAATTGATTTTGCTTATATGAAATGAATGTGCTGTTTATATTTCTGAACTCTGGTGCATTAGTGTTACAATTAAGTAGATACTTAGCCATGATAGACATGTTTCCAACTACAGTGAAACCTCAAAATAAGAGTTTAATTTGTTCCAGCATTGAGCTTGTAGCGAATTTCTCATATCTAGAAACAAACTTTACCGTTGAAAATAATGGAAATCCAGTTAATCCATTCTCTCCCCCCCCCACAAATATCAACATAAAAATAAATTTATCTAATAAATAACACTGGTAAATACCGTAGTTTTTATAAAATTCCGACACCGAATCGCCTTTCAACTGCTTCTCGTTAATCCACACTAACAGCAGCTTCTTAATGTCTTCTAGGAATTTTGGATGGTACTTGGAAGTAATGGTAATTCCTTTGGCCACATCAAGTTTCTTAATTTCTTTCTTCTTCTTCAGAATATTGCAGATCATCGATGTTGAACGACCGTAAGTCTTCACCAATTCCATCACTCTTACACCATGGGTTATTTTTATCTACGATTGTTTTCTTAATTTCAATGGCCATGGCTTCCTTCTTTTTATTTGCAGCACTATCTGAGGCAACAATCTTCTTAGGAGGCATCTAATTATTTTCACATTAAATGTAAAAGAACAATTAACTCTCAAGCGTAGATCAAAGGACACTATGTGATCCGACAAGAGAATTCCCCAAGTTAGGGACAAAGCCGCTTTAGACTAAAAACCTCACAAATTAAAAACAAAAATGTATTACATATAACAAAATTACAATAAAATAAGCAATATTCCTTATTATTATTATTACTTATTCCCGTTGCCTTCTCTCAACAAACATCCAGGCTGCAAGAGAAACATTAAATTTAAAAACTGCACAGAATTATCACCCTCATTTTTCCAAGTGCCAACAGTGCTGATTTTCAGCAATCCGGTATACAGTTGAATGAAAAACTGTTGCCCAAACCATATTTTTAAAAAAATGAAACTGTTCAGAATGATGCGATAAAATTGAAAAGATAAAAAAAATTCGGCTTCAAATTTTGAAAAAAAAAATCGCTTAGAGGTGTGTGTACTGGCTCTTTTCTAGATGCACCTATATACCAAATTTCGTAGCCCTGGATCTGTTAGCTTACGCACAGCACGAACGCAAGACACACAAACTCTTTTTTTTTTTTTTTTTAATTATTATTATTATATGTAGAGATTATTTAGAAAACATTTTTCGAGCTGAGCATATTTGTGCACATTTTTGTGCACAGATGTAATCTTGGTTCATTTGAATGTGAGCTTGGTTCATGTGGTCTGCAAAACAGCTAAGAAGCAAAATGCCTTCCAAATATAAATTAAAAGAATTAGTAGAACATTTTGCTATACCTGAAACAATAGAAAGGGAATTAAAAAAAAAAACAAGAATCAATGTGAGTTATTAATGTAATGAAAGCTTAATGACTTGCAAACTTCCTTGTGCATGCTGATGTTCTAATGGAAGAGTATAGCAGAATTAACATTGACTAGAAATGAAAATACCTTAATGGGGGAAGGTAAATAAAGCTAAAACTTCTTATCAAATTAGTAATGAAAGAAAATGCTATTGTAAAAATTTGATTATTTCTCATCAAGCTGTTAGATATTGAAGTCTATATTCTAATAACCAAGCGTCTTCTTTCATCATCAGATGCCTCTCAGCATATTTGTCTCCTTAAAACACCTCAGCCATGCCTATCTTTAGACTCAGTCATTTAAAATGTGACTGAGTAATATCTATATAGCAATATTATTTCATAAATTTCAATCGGACTTCTGTATATACCTTGAATAATAATTATTGTTACTTCTAATTATTTTATATTCAGTTTAACATGAAAATAAATATTTTATATTTATTCATAAAAATCTTATCAATTACGTTTAATTAAGTAAAATCAAAATACTTTTGGCTCCATGAAACATGCTTCTCTATTTATAGGTTTGTCTTGTACCAATTGCAGAGTGCCGCATAGTGGCTAAGACCACTGAATGTTAGTTATTCAGTGCTGGTTTAAGTCTCTGCAAATAATTTGATTGCATGGATATTGACAGGATTTTTCCCTCGTGTTACATGAATATGAGCCAGTTTCATATAGGAAGTCATCATAAAATATTCCCTTGCTTTAAATAGTTATCACATGTTTTTGCATAATTAGATAAATATATGACACTTATATACAAATACATTAATGGTTTAAAATTGGAGAAGAGTGAAACCTTTAATAAAGGAATTTTTTTGTTTTAACCAAAAAAATTAAATAATATAATTTTAAATATATTTTATTTCTATTTATTTATTTAATTTTATTATTTTTATTTAATTTTATTTCTATTTATTTATTTTTATATATATTTTATTTCTAAGCATAATTTTTTCCCTTAGTATATTGTTGTCAGCAATGATTTTTAAAAAAATTTTGCAGACAGAACGGAGAATTTTTCTTAATTTTCATCGCCAAGTATTTTGTTGGCTAGATCGATGGCATGGCATGACTATGAAAGATATTAGGGAAATTGAAGAAAAAACTAAGAGAGAATTGGATGAAGTAAGTGTTTGATTTTTTATTTATGTATGATGATCAAAATAGGAAATAAAACTAACTTGATAAAAGTTACAGTTGCACAATTAAATTTAATTTTAACGTAAATGTTAAATATTCTGAACAAATTATACTTTCAGCATGTTTAATAGTACATTTTAAAATCCATAAGCTAGAAATTTTCATCTTATAATTAATTATATGTATACAAGTTTATTTTTATTAGACTTAAAGTCCTCAATGGACACATTTCTTCCCTCAGCAGATAGTTCTCATCCTTTTCCTTATTCAAAGAATCAAATTTAACATTTGGCTGATTTGTATAAAATACAAACATAGTTTACATTCTCCCCCAAAATTTTTTGAGTCCTGTTTTTAAGAGATATTCGAAATTAACCTGAACTTGGAAAATTTTGTGATAATTGAATTTCTCTTTCATGTTTGATTATAGTGTTAACATATTGATTTTACATGATACAGCCATTCACACAATCATATTAGATAGTCAGAATGTGTTGATATGATATTCAGATTGTTTTTTGCAGCTCCATATGTGTGCAATATGGGGATTTTTTTGTATTGTTTCATTTTGTTTTTTGCAGCTCCATATGTGTGCAACATGGGGATTTTTTGTATTGTTTCATTAATCTTAATTCATTTAAAGGATAATATTTGAATGAAACATAATGCTTGCTAACATTTGAATTGACCAATGAAGTTTCAAAATCTTCTGTATAAAAAAATATTTCTGTGCTTTGTCATATGCTATTGCTTTATATTACCTCACCTGAATATGGTGCTGTCTTATATTTAATATAATGTTTTAATATGTACCCAAGGTTAATTTATGTACCAAAATCTAGATTTCCATTATGAGTTAATACACTCTTTTGCAAAAAAATCGAAACACCATGAAAGAAATGGTTGTTTTTGATGAAACTGAATATTTGTATAGCTCATACACAGATAATAAAATGATTAAAAAATCAAGTTTAGTACCTATTCATGGCTCACAATCACCCATTGAGTGTTCAAATTAGTAGTTGGTCGAATCGCCCCTGGTGGCAATGCATGCTTGAATTCGTCAAGGCAAGGAGTGGTAAAGGTTCCTAATGTCATCATGCAACATATTCTGCCAGGCATTCATCAGTTGTCTCTCCAGATGGGGAATATTATGTGGTGCCCAGATCTGGCGGTCTGCTATGCCTCAGACATGCTCACTTGGTGAAAGGTCTGGTGACCTTGGTGGCCAAGGAAGAGTTATCAACCGCACAGAGACAACCCAGAGATATGCGATCGGTATGTGGCCTGGCATTATTTTGTTGGAAAATGGCCCCAGGATAATGTGCCATGAAGGGTAATGCAACCGACCGCAGGATGCTATCAACATATCGTTGAGCTGTTAAAGATGTATGGAGGATGACTGAAGATGACCTGCTAGCATAAGGATAGCGCCCCACACCATCACACCAGTGGTTATGGCTGTATGCCTTTGTAAAACAAAGGCTGATTGTGACCTCTGGTGCTGCCCTGTTCAGACATGAACACGGTCGTCATTTGCTTCAAGAGTGAAACAGGATTCATCGCTGAACACTATACAATGCCAGTCTGATGGCAGCCATGATGATCAGCTGCAGCACTACTCCAGAGGACTGCATCGATGTTGTGGGGTCAAAGGCAAATGTCTTAAAGGCCTCTAAACATGAACATAACCACCTCAGACAAGCGCCGTGAGATGGTGGACGGTACCACGGGAGGTATAGACGTGGCTGCAGTGTGTTGAATAGTCAACAATGATTCCATTGTGGTGGTTCAGTCCTGATGAACAACCATCTTATCTTGCCTCGCATTTGTGCTCCTTGGCCTTCCAGAGCCTTCATTTCGTCAGCAATTTCCTTGTAACAACCATTGCTGCGAACATCTTTGCACAGCAGTGTCTGTATGCTGCAGGTGGCGACCTATTGCTCAATATGACCACCCAGCTTTACACAACCCTACAATGCGACCACGTTCAAAGTCATTTAATTGTCTGTAAGGTCTTCGATATCGTCGTAATGGCATTTTTAGTTGCTTCTTTACGGAATTACAATGGCAGCAACAAGAAAAAAGAGAAATTTTCCGCCTCTGTTACTGGTTTTATACTTTGCAAAGTGCACACTAGAAATGTGCACTATGATCACAATTCCAAATAGTTTTGTTAATATCACCTGCTATGCAGAATAACTTTCTAGGATTTTGTGATTGCATGCATTGTTTCAAGGGCATCCCTCTAAAAATACCAGCAGTCTGTGTCTGCTTATAAACTGAATATGAATATAAATGAAATGTCGTAAAAATAAGTAATTATATCAAATTATTGATAACATTTTAGTGCTGTAATTTTTTTCAGAAATCTTATGTTTCTGAGTTAAGGCTATTTCTGTTGAGTTTCTCATTCTTTTTATAATCTTTCTTGAGGCATTGATATTTTATATTAAATTTTAGCTATAACTTTTTTGGTAAGGCTTAGTAGGGAAGTTCTGAGAAAACGGTTGTTTTTCTATTAGCCTATTTTTAGTATTCAGCTTTTAAATTAATATAAACTTATATGATTAAAGTACCTTTTTATGAAATAGGCTTTTAAAAAACTAAGAGTTTAGTCTGTTGTTATATAATCACAAATTATTTCTGAATTAGAAAAGATGAGCATATAAATTACTTTGTAAAAAGCGTGTAAAATTCAATATTTCTGGTTTTTTAAAAAATAGTTTCTGATTATTATTTTTTAAACAAGTCAAAATGTATTGTAATTCTGTAGATTATTTTCCTGTAAAAATCATCAAGATGACTCATGTAATTATTAAAAATATGTATCTTAACATTTATTTTTTACATTTTGTATTTGCTGTCATATTTAAAGTACTGGATTTTGACTTCTAACTAGTAATTCGAATTCTTGATTATCCATGTAAGAATTATTTGTGTTATTAAAAAATATTCTTCTCAGACTAGTACTTGAGGATGAAGAACTAGGGAGTTTTTGGAAAAGGTCATGATTTTTAATGCAGTTAATTTCATTGCTAAGATTTGGTTGAAGTAAAAAAGTTTAAGCGTATATGGAACAACGTGACAGGAGAAATGAAGCAATTCTTGCAAAAGATTCAACAACATGTATTTTGCTTTAAAATACAGATATAACTGAGATTTTTCTTTCCACAGTAATATTTCAGTTCATATATAAAAGAAATTAATTAGCTGCATAAATTAGTTTGAAAGAGCTAATTATTTTTTATACAGCTGTATTAAAATTTTTTTTAACAATATGTCTGTACTGTACATATTTCTAAAAAACTATTGAGTTTATTACCTTAAATATGGTATGGTAGCAGAAAATATACTATTTGAGAATAATAAGCATTTTTCATTTTGGCTAAAAAAATTAAATTAAAATTATATTACTAAAAAATTTGGAAAATCCCCAAACTTTTAAGAATATATTTTTCATTATTTTCAAAGTTTTCCCACTCAGATCTATAATGTTAGGTACTTTTAAAGAAACAAGTTAGTTGTACTGCTTGGAAAAATTTAAGCACTGTACCTTAAATAGAGTTTTAGAAAAGTGTATCGAAGAATTAAAAAAAAAAAAAAAACATTTTGAGAAAAAGGCAAAAAACTATATGCTTGCCCACAATGCTTAAAAAAGTATTATTTTAAAACCTTCCAGCATCATAATCATTTTGTTTTATCATTTCTGCATCAGGTCTTCTCTATTCTATCATTTTATTTTTCACTGTGGCTGATTTAGAGTTTTGGAAACTCAAAAGGATGCCTCTTGAACTCAGTCCTCATCAATATTTTAGAATGACTATTTCATATTATGTCTCAGTTCAGTACTCAAATGTTTTAGAACTTTTAACTGGCTGTAAGCCCCATCAATAAAAGTAATTACAGCATTTACTTTCAAATTTCTTTGAAGCCTACTTCCAAAGTAGCTGTAGAAACAGAAACAGTTTTAGGTCAGCATTCCCATAAATAACAGTTAAAACTCTCATTTGGATTCTGAGTTCTACCATGTGTGCACTTGCACAAAAATTTTCTGTTCGACTGAGAATGGGGAAAGAACAACAGAAAGTATAGTTTCTGGCACGGATTGTTTATGACTATACTTTCTCTTTTTTAAGGCATTATTGTAGCCACACCAAGTTTCTGAATCCATATTACTCTGGTAGGACGTAGTTGAAAGTTTATGGCAGTATATTACCCATATAGATTTTACCAGTCAATCTAAGGATGGGTTTATATTACTGTGGATTGATAATAACATAAGGGGAATAAACCATAGGATAAAATAAAAAGAAAAGTTGCTCTTTTCAGTTAGCAAGAATGCTGAAAAATATGAAAAACTTATGTCCTTTACACTGGGGGGGGAGGCATTATTTGTTTACATTCTTAAATACCATATTTTAGGTGCTTATCTATCAGAAACCTACACAAATTATATATTCATGGAATCATCTGAGTCTGCTCTATTTTTTAAAACTCTAATTGGAAATTTGAAAATTTGGACCATTTTATGTTCCATGTGCCCTTTTGATGCTAGTTAGATTGTATTCATATATGGAGATGGGAAGTGACTGATTCCTGGTATTTTAAAGGAGAAATATTTCTAGTAGTGAAGCAGGTCTTCTGAAACTTTCTAATGATAAGGGTTCTCAAAATATAATAGCAGAAAAAAAAAAGGGGGGGATAGGAAAACAAGGAGAATGAAGGCTTTTAAGAAAACATTTCAAAATGAAGTAATAAATAATGAGAACTTAATAATCTAAATAGAGAATGAAATTTTAAAAAGCAGAAATTGTCTCTTTAGTCCAAAAAAGTTCTGAAAATTTTGCTGACCAAGACACAGACAGGTACTTCAAAGACGCTTGAAGTATCTTCCTCTGCTGAACACGAAGCGTATTCCTCTGCTCAAGAGGAATATGCTTTACATCTTCACCATTACTACAGCTGCACAATGCACAAAGCAAGTTCAAGTTACTTTAACTAGCTCTTAAAATTGCCATATCCGGTGAAAAATCGAGTTTAAAATCTGTTAAAAATTGATTAACTGGTATTCTGTGAAAAATTGCAGGAAAAAAAAAAAAAAATCTTTTGGTGAGGCCAGATATTCTCTGTTTCATATGCAGATAACATCAATTTTGTAAAAGCACTTTTAGTGAGAAACAGGAGCTTTGCTCTCTCATTTCCAAAATTTTCACAGTGTCCACGAACATAAGTAAAATGAACGTCGATATCAAGATCCTGCAAGGTCTTAATAATAAACTGAATTTTAACAGCAAGTTTCTCTGAAGCACTAATTTTCTGTAATAATTGCAGCAAAGAAAGTGAACCATTGCATCTTAAACATGCATTGATTTCAAACCACTACAGGTATTTTGAATCCATTTCACAGCAAGATTTAAGCATAATAACTCAGCATTAAAAACAGAGTACTTATCATTAATTCTATACCATATGTCTCTTTCTTCTTTATTTTCATAAACAACAAAAGCAAGGCCAACTTAATCATTCATCTTACTGCCTTCTGTGAAACAAATTAATTTGGCCTTTTCAAGAACAGCATCAGAATAACCAGCAACTGGTATAGAATTCCTGTTAAAAGGATACAGCAAAGAAGAAACTGGAAGACTGCCATCGAGAAAATTTGATAAAGATTGCCTGCAGATGCTTTCTTTCATCACATTGTTGCTCAAAATTTCAATATCTGTGGGTAGAATACCAGTGACAGTAAAAAGTGCCTCGTAATAATAGTTCTGTAGTCATGAGCAGTTCTTAAAAGAAATCACCTTTGAATTTTTCTCAGAAGTTTAGACCACTGCAAAAACAGTATCGAACATCAACGAAACTTTTGCTTTAAAAAATTGAAAGCTGCAAAAACAGTTTTAAAATGGTGTTGGAAAGAGATTATTCACACGAAAGGTAATTTATTATAAGATTCCACAAAAGGGTCCAGATACAGCACAAAGTCCGTAATCCGGACTCGTCGGGACTTCAGCGATTCCGGATTGAGGGTTTTTCCGGATTATAGATCATCAATTTAAATCTGGTAAGGTGGCATGCAGAAATTATACAATTAAAAATGTGAACGTTATTTATGAAATAAAGAGCAATTATGATCTAAAGGGTATGAAAATTTACAAAAAAAGCTTAATATTTATTTGTTTACTTTATTAAACATTTCTTTCAATGTAAGTTGTTTAAGTTGCTTCGTTTTTGTGCTAAACGTGCATGCGTAAACTTTAAACACATATGCATAACATTAAATGCGCATGCGTAAAGCATTAAAAAAAAATGGCTTTGAGGTCCGGATTATAGATCGTTCCGGATAATAGACGTCCGACTTTGTACTGTACTGATTCCTCAAAACAGCACTATATTCTTTATCCCTATATCCTATATTTTTTCGTATTATCTAAAGAAAATTCTACTGTGTGAATGCACGAAAAATCCTTGATTCGGTAGATGTTCCTATTTGCACGTTTCAATAAATTTATGATTCTTGGCCCCCATTCATTGTCAAGAGCCCCTTTTATGTCCAGAAATTTCAAAATTTGACATAGTTTTTCCCATTTACCTTGCTTTACTATCTCATCCAAAATATATCTGCTTCTTAAGTGCCAGTTCACACTTTTTATAGAAAGTGTTTCAAGATTTTACTCAAAAGTATGATAGAAGGCTGATACATCTGATATTTTCAATACTAAACTTTTTAACTTCAATGTTTTTAGGAATATTCACAATTCTGCTTTTATCCACACCACTGGAAAGTGATTCTGATCTAGTCAGAAATTATATTAGAAGGACTAATATAGTGAAATATAAATTTGTAGTAGAGGGACAGATATCGTGAATATGTAAATTTATATTAGAGAGATAAATATCATGAAGATCCTGAATCATTTCATTTACGATTCTGTTTGGTCTAGGAGTTGTACCTAACTTTAAACCCTTAATAACCTTTCAGTTTCATGGCATCTATTGTAGCCCCAAAAGAGGAAGTAACTTCTCCTGACAACCATTCAGTTCTTGAAATTTCAATATCTTTAGAATAATTCATTTTAAGACTTAAAGAATAAATCTTTTTTCCAAATATTTTGTGTTGTAATATTACTGAGGAACTTTTATCAAGAGTTAAGTGTATTTCTTCTATCTTAGATGCATATTTTAGCCTTTTTTGCAAATGTTGTAAATATGTCTCAGAATTTTTTAGTTCTTTGATATCTCCTTCTAGCTGCATTTAACTGTTTGCTCTTATAATTGATCTCAATTCACCACCAAGAAACATTATGTAAATGATATTTTGACATTTCTTCAGTGCAATGGAGTGTTCTGCTGCAGAAATAATTAAATTGGGCAATTTTATAACAGTGTTATGTAACGTCTCTGGTGAAGTACAATTTTGCAAAGATTTAAGGAATTCTACCTTATTATTTTTGCGGAAACTTTGAAAATGACTCCAGTTTGCTCTATTAATGTTAAAAAGAAAATATTTCAAGGCTCATCTTAAAATATTTCACAAATATGACACAGAAATTTTAATAATAATAAAAAAAAAGATCAGAGATTTAGTCTCAGGAATACACCCGATTTGATATTCTGAAGCTGTTCATTGTGGATAAGAAATGTTTGGCAAAATCGCCCTGTTGCCTTAAAGAATCCATGAAGTATTAGTCTGGATTATGTTCAGATCCCATCTAACAGATAACACAAAGAAATAGAGAAGCAAGAAAGAGTTGTTGAAAGAGAGTAATATATAGACATGGCTGTTATTCCTGGCAGATTAACACCATTAGTTCAGCCTTTAGATGTGGATATCAATAAAACATTCAAAGAAAATTTTAAATGACTGTGAAATACATGGATGTTAGAAGGTGAAAAAAGGAGGCAAAAGGCATCATGACAGTCTAGAAATAATGTGCAAGTAGATAATAAACACTTGGAATGAAATTAAACCCAACTTAATTTAAAAGTCATTTAAATAACATATTTTTAATAATCTAGATGGAAAGGAAGAATCAGAATTTATTATTTATGAATCAGAATTTATTATTTATGAATCAGAATTTATTATTTATGAATCAGAATAACAGGGATGGTGAAGATGAAACAGAATTCAATGATGTGCCTGAACATATGACAAGAGACTAATTTGCTGAACTTCTCATGTTATCTGATAATGAAAATTTTTACGTTTATAAACTATATCATTTCTTTTAAATAAACAGATCTTAGGTACATGTAGAAATGTAATTTTTGTATGCTCAGTTTTTCCTTATTTTTAAATCTATTATTTTTATATCCGACATATAACATGCACCCGTAAATTTTGATCTAATTTTTTGTATTAAAAGTACACATTATATGCTGGAATCTATGGTAAATAAATGAAATGAGCGAAAAACACAGCATGTTTACACCAGCATTGCAGCACCCTGCTATTGAAATTGTAGGCTTTGGAAGCATTTTTTATAAATTTTGCTGATGATATAAATATAAACAAAACCTTTATTACGAAATGTTATCATGGAATAATTTTTTTTAAACTATTCACCATGTTATATGGATGATAAATATTCTTTCAAATGTGAAAGAAATGTCTTGTCTTATTAATTGTCAATAATTTATTTTGCAGGAAAATTTACTTTTTGTGTGTGCTGAAAGTAAGAACACCTAATTTTATATGTGAAGAAAAGAAATGTGAAATATTTTTCTAGAAGAAAAACTGAAAAATATATTTTTTATTGTAATTGACTTTACCTTAAGTGGTATATCATATGCTCTTTCTTTAAAACATGCAAAGAATACCTGTTTTAGAGCATACATGATTTTTTTTCAGATTATTTGTCTTTACTAGTGATCTGTGCATACTTGTACATTAATTAGAAAATTAGATTTCACTTGAATTATCAATCCTAAGTTTATTTATTATTATTATTATTGTTTTTTTGTAGAGTGTAACCTAATAAACATTTCACTTGTTGTGTGGTAGACCTCTTCGACACTTGTTGTGTGGTTGACCTCTCCAGCACACTCATACACTTTTATCTACATCTATCATCTTTTTCATTTTTAAGTATCTTACTTTTTAAAAATTATTTATATGCCATCTGATTTAATTTTATTTATTTCAGCAACGCAACAAAGGACATGTTAGGGGCACTCAAGGTGAGGAATGACTTCCAGGATTAATAATATATCAAGCATATCTGTTCAAAATCACCTGTGTATATTTTGTTTCAACCATTTCACTGTCCAGAAAACATGAGAAGGAAGTAACCAGTTCATTAATTTTATTCCTTAATAATCAAATTGTGTTAGATATATTGATTAGAGATGCATTATCATAAAAGCACCAGATTTGTTGATGTGAATGTCATCTAACATGACAGGGACATAAGTTAGGGAAAGCTATATTATATGATATGTTAGGATACAGGCTTTTCTGCCTTTCACCACATCATATGACCTCTGTGTTGTAACAGTAGCAAATTTAGTTACATGCATGATTGTGATGCCAAAGAATACTTTAGTTAAGAATCATAGTAGTTTTTACTAAAGATACACATAAATCAAGTTTTGTTGGCCTTGATTTTATGCATGAAATTAAGTGTTCTATGCGAACAGGTAATTTGTTTGAAATGTGGTAAAACCTCTTATGTGTAATCTCATTAATAAACATGTACCAGAATCAGTTTCATGTACCAGGCCATGACATCATAAAGTAGAATACATATTAAACAGAAGCTTATATAGTTAAAAATGTTTTAACGATATGACTGTGTTCGCTGTGTAATAAAATATGAAGTACAATAAGCTATCCTGTATGAGTAACAATATTATAAAATGAATAATTAAGAATAAATTATAAGTATTTAATTCTGAATTTGCATCTAAGATTTTATTGGCGTATATTGGTACATAATGAGATTTGCATTCCTAGCGAATTTATGCAGTTTGTTTTAATAAGAAAATGCTTTTAACATCACTTTTATTGATGGAAAAAAAATAGTAGTTTAAGACATACATCCAAGATTTTTTTATAAGAGGTTTTGCTGTAATTTATATATATATATATTTTTTTTGTAAATTAAGTGCAATATCTGTGCAGTTATATGATTTTGCATGATGTACATTACCTTTTTACCTAGTGGTTTGAAATTTGAAACTTTTATTTCCATTAATGAAATGGATATTTTTTTCAGAAAATTGACCTCTGAGAAGTTAGGCGCTCCATCACCAGTTCCTTTGTAAGTTAACAGTTACCATATTTACCCTTTTATAGAAGGTGCTTCTGTGTCAAACTCATATAAAGAAGCTTAGTTAGTTAGGTGCACTTTTTTATGTAATGTGTGTATTAAACTTGTGCATTGATTTATAATTTATTTTTATTTTCTTTTTAATCTTAAATTATATTAAACAGAGTTTTATTTTGACTTAATAGTTCATAATCCTAAACAGAACTATTTGGGATTTCTTTTTATTAAATTAGTTTATAAATTTATCAAAATGAGATGGTGTTAATTTATGAATATATTCAATAGGTGCTGTTTAAAGTTTTTTTAGGAGAATGCTTTGAAGAAACTTTTTTAAAAATATGTTAATTTACATGAGGTTATTTCTGTTAAATTAGTGATATATAGTGCTTGTAGTTCTGTGTAAAAGCTTTTATTATATTAATTATAAACAGTGTATTTGTTATTTTCATTATTCTCGTACATAAAATTAATAACTATAAAATACATCTTATGATTTATAATGAAACAAAATAGGTAACATAAGGTAGATTGTTTTTAAAAGGTGTTAACAGATTTAGAATTTCCTAAGAATGCACCCATCTTTAATTCATAACTAAGTTTGAAATATAATTAAAGATTAAGCAATATTTTAATATAACTACACCTTCTGATTAAAGGTGCTTTATTAAAAAAAAAATACTTGCTCTCCACTTTTAATTGTGTGTAAAAACGAAACTTTGTATCGAATTTTGCCAGTGAAACTGGTGGAATCATTCATAAAAGTAAGTTGGAATTCTTTGCCCAAACAATTGGCTTTGGTGTTTGCTATTAAGAGTTTATGTGTCAAGCCCTGAATTTCTGTGTTCCATATTATTTAATTTTTAACAAGTTTGTAGATTATAGCCTCTTCCCATCTTTTCTGGATGGTCCAAAGTCATCTTCTAAAAAGATGTATGCTGAAGAAAATCACAGAATTAAAGGCTCTTGTTATTCAAGTTCCTATTTAATAAAGAAAAACAAATAATTGATTTCCTCCACCATTCAATTTGTCTTTTGTAAAAAATTTAAACTAAAAATAAGTAACTTTTGTAAAAAATTTAAACTAAAAATAAGTAACTTTTGTAAAAAACTCAAAATAAGTCTGCCCTTCTTGGTATCTTTTAAAATTTGGAAGGTTTGTAATACAGTAAACATTATGATGTATAGCAGAACTTTGATATTTGGAATTTAGTAATTCAGAATTTTTGATAAAGCTAACTAAAAATTTTCCACAGACAAAATGTATTAAAAATTAATGGTAACTTTACTTAAAAAGTTGAATTATTTTAACTGGAAACATGTGATTCAGCTGACTCAAGGATGTTGAAATTATTTTCTTTATGTTTTTTCCTTTAGTTAAAGTAAGATATATGTCAAAGCTTCCTTTGTAGAATCCTCAAAATCGTTACTGTTGTGAGTATTTAAATATGTACTTTAAAAAAATGCTATAATTTATTTTATTGCAAAATGTATTTTTATTTGAGATGGGCAAAATTGAGCTACTTTAAATTTTATAATTTTATTCTGTAATGTTTAATATATTTTACTTATTTTGCATACCTATAAAATTGTTATATGTTTTTAAGCTGCTAAAAGTCACAATATCTTGAGTTTCCAATTACTTCTTCCCCCTTCACCTCCTTCTGACATTCTCTAATTTTGGCTCATCTAAATATGATTGTCTGTTTAAAATGATTGAATCTGTTGATCAGTAGAATGACTCTCTTCTGAGGGAGAGGGGGACGAAGTTTTTTAATTTTTCTTTTGAAATTGATCAGATTTTTTCAGGTTAAATTTTATCAGTTGTTAAAGTTTTGAGTAATAATAATAATGTTTTACTGTGCACATAATCTGTGTCTGCTATCAAGACTTTATAAGTCAAACACTGAATTTCTGTGTTCCATATTATTTAATTTGTAACAAGTTTATAGATCATAGCCTCTCCCCATCTTTTCTTGATGGCCTGAAGTCGTCTTCTAAAAAGAGAGTTTTATCATAAATGTATCTGTATGCTGAAGAGAATCACAGAATTGAAGGCTGTTGTTAATCAAGTTTTTGCAGATTAACAAAATTAAAAATTCCCATTGTGCTATTATATTCATAGTTTTTTTTCCTTTTAAATAACTATGTTTAGTATCATATCATTTGAATAAATTATTTTGTGTGCTATTAATCTTGAATTTTAATTTTGAGTTAGGAATGATTTTTATTATTAATATTCATAATATATGTACACAACTGTTAAACCCTTTCATGTATTAATCCATAAATAGTAATATTCAGTGTTTGTTTTGTAATAAATTTAGCCATAAATAGGCTTACGGCAGTTTTAATTAAGTTAATACTAAATTAAAGTTGAATTTTTGTCCTTTCTTTTAAAGGTTTAAGTTTCTATATATTTCTTGTAGCATCATACAAAATAGCTTACAGTGAAAAATGAGAATAAAAAATATTTGTTTGCACAAAAAACAAGAAATAAAAATTTGAGGCATTTAAAATATATGGTGCTTTTAGCAGATATGAATATTTAACATTAAAAATCCTGATCCTCAGCATGTTAATATATTTTTAAGATCACATGTTAATAAACTGTAACTATGAAGAACTTATTTCTTTAGCAAAATGTATATTTAAAAAGTGATTTATGAAAATAATTGAACATTTTATAAACTTTTGTCAGTTTTGTTTTAAATAAACATATCATTCTCTCCTAAAAAATTTATAATTTCTTATTCAGTTTTTTAAAAAATTAAATTTCAGTTTCAAGCTTTCAATTCAGTGTACTTATGATACTATCTGTATCAGTCTTTGTTTTATTTTAAGAAATTGTCTGTATAAAGTTACGTTCTAATAAATTTTGATTATATTTTAAAGGCCTAAACAGTAATTCCAAAATATATGTGATTTTTTTTATTTATTTAAATTAAACTGATCATTATAAAGGATTTTTCCAGTATATAAGTTAACATTTGGGAGTAACAGTAAAAACCTGTTCAGTACCTTGAATATCAAAATTGGATGAAAATTTGTCACATTTATTGATACAAGTACTTCATTAGATATCAAAATCAAGTTTTGCTCATTTTTGTTTTTAATTAAACATGCCATGATTAAATACTCATTATTTGTACCAAATAGAATGAATAGTTATTGCTTGCTCCAAAGTGTATTTTCAGATTTGGAATCTCAGCTCTTAGGCTATTATAGAATTTAAATAACTGTTACTTGCAATAGCATTCAGCGTTGACTGTTTCATACGACTTAAGACTTTTCATATATAATTGAATGTACTCAGTTATAAAAAATTATATAAAAAGTTTTGATACTGCTATAACCTTCATAATCATTATTATAAGACTAGGTATGGTTTGTTTATATATCATCTGGTGTAATTTATGGAAAACAGTATTTAATAGTCTTAGTTTCATAATGAGATTTTCAAAATGCCTTAGTCATGTCTATTTCTAGAGCATGTAAATTAATCATTAAGCTAAATTGTCAGTTAACTGTACATATGTCTTATACTAATTTTTGAACTTTGAAAGCAGCATCTATTGAAATGTAAAAACTTTATTAATATGTAATGAATAGAATGTTTAAGCAATGTATTGTATGGTGCTCATGCTTTATTTGGAAAGTATTTTGTTTTCTTTAATATATTCTTTTTTCCTTTCATTAGCTTATATTATTTTTGTTTCAAAAGGTAAATCAGACAATGCTCCGCCCACTGCCTAATTCATACAATGTCTAAGGAAGCAATTCAGTTTGTGAAAATGGGTAAATATGGTACTGGACCATCATTAGTGTTATAAAGAATCATAAAACTGTTTGTTGTAAACATTAGCTTTGAACAAATGAGTTTTATAAGGAATTTTAGTCTTTTTTCAGACAATGAAAGAATTTTTATGTTCCATATTACCATATTGATCTGAATAAGATGCTTAAAATAATGTATAGTAAATTGCAAAAATTGTTATGTTCCCAAGTAAAATGTTGTTATTAAAATATTTATGTGGATTCAGTAACTTTGAATTTAAATATTTTAAGGAAATATTTTTCTGATAATATCAAAAGTTTTGAAAGTTATTCATTCCTCTAGTGCAATAATTTTTCTCTTTTTGGAAGGATGATAAATATCTTATCATTGTCTAACAGACCATTTATTTCCAGAGTTTTGAATAAATCTGTTTTTGCTTATATTGAAGATAAGTTTTTATTAAATCTAAAATTTACTTTATTATTATTATTATTATTATTATTTTAGAAAATGTATTTAATCATTGTGCCTTTTAGTGCCTTTAAAATATTTCATTTGAAAAACTTTGTACTATTCTTCTCAGAACTTCTAAATGATGCTAGTTTCTGTCAAGAGATAAAAATGGGCCTTTATTAATTATCAGTATAATGAACTTATTTTCATAAATCTCAAACACTGTTTTCAAGGAATTTTTTATTTTGAATTCATTTTCCACCTCCCCCTTTTTTTTAAGTTAAAATAATAATTTTTTTTTTGGGGGGGGGAATATCTCAGTCAGATTTCTTTGGAAAATGAGGTTCTTCATTTATGTTTTCATAAGACATTAAAGGAAAGGAAATTTTTTGGTTTCTTTCTGTTGTATTTCTGATGATTTGCTTAAGAAGTAGAAAGGTTAAGAGAATGAAAGTATGAAGTAATTATAGTTTGAGATCTTAATATTCTTGTTTAAATAATTATCTATTTAATTGCTTATAGCTCTTTTGCTAATTGTTTTGTGTGGTATGAAAGCATGTGGTGTATATTGAGAACAATTTGGGAATGCGTATTCAGGTCAGTATGGTTATATAAGAAATCATTTGAATTATTTATTTGGACTTATTTTGTATATAAACTGTTTTCATATTGCATTACAGTTTTGTGGACTTGTGATGCAATGGAGCTACATTCCAAACTTTTTCCATATATTTTCATACATATTTAATTCATTTTAAAGTAAATATTTTGTTTACCTTCTCAGAATTAAGCTGTATTTATGTGTATATGTATTTCTACACTGTGCTGCTATTTTTATGTGAGTTTTACTGTTGAAATTTCACATGTAGCAAACAGCATAGTTGTTTGGAATGTAGCAGTTACATTTTAATTTAAGCTCTCTGCTCAAGTTTTAGAGGAGAGAATATAATTTATTGCTCTGAAATATAGTGATATTAAAACTCTCCACACACATGTAAATATTTGATGATTTTTATGTAAATAACTAGATCTTGTTTTGTGAAATGTTAGCAGAATTAATTTAATCATTAGTCTAGTCATTTTAAAGAACTTTGATAAAATTATGCTTTATTCTTCAGGACTAAGATGAATAAGCAGTACCAAAGACTTGTTCTGAAATATTGTTATCTTTATGTATTATAACAAAATTTTGAAAAGGTAATTTATTATTTGACTACTTAACCTTATATTGGCAATCTTGAACTATAATATAATGACAATGATTTAAATTTTTTTTTATTTCTCAGTGAAATTGTAATGTTTTATGTGTTTCAGTAGTGCACTATTTAATTACCTTTTTAATTAATTTGAACTATTAAAATTGTCATTAGTAATTATGATATGACTATTTCTTTAAAAATATCTGCTTTTATTTTCACCAGTTTTTCCTCCCCCTTAAATTTTTGCTATTATTCAGTAAGGTTTTTTTTACCTTAAAAATATTCCTTTTTTATTTGATAAATTTATTATAATATATATATATATTATATTTATATTAAATGTTAAATCAGTTAAAATCTTTGTCTTTGTTCACATTATTACATAACATCAAAATAATTCCATCTTTGTATGTACGTTTAAATAATTTTTGTGGGGGTATCTTGTGATTATTTATTAATTTATAATATATCCAGTTATTTATTTTTCCAAATTTAGTTTACAAAAGTTAATATTTAATTATCTTATCAACATCTTGATTCTTATAGGCAATTAGAAATAATCACATGTTTCTTGTAGATAGAGGTGTCTTATTCCTTGAAATTTCTGACAATCTGTTGTTCTAAAGTTAATCATGATATTGATGTTATAGGTGAATCAAATTATTTTTGATTCATTTTAATTTTTCTAAATGATGAGTTAGTCATGAATTTTTGAGGAGAACATTACTATAGATGTTAATAGTCTTATTAGTTAACATGTTGGAAATGAAAGTTTTTGTCTGTTTTTTGTTATAATCAAAGAATTCAATTGATATGGCTGACAAAAATATACTAATCTATAGTGTAATGGTTATGAGCTTATGTTTTACACTGTGGAAAGAGGAAATCTCATGGTAAACTATGAAAATGATCATTTTTGATCTACATCTATAACTTTAATCTCTTCTAAAATGTGTTGTTGTTTGAAATATTAGTCAGATGTATATTATTTATTTGTTTTAATCTGTAAAATATATTTCTCACGATTGTGTCAACATTAGTTTTCATTTTCTCTCTTGGTTATTATATAAACTATTTATAAACTATTTATATACTATTTATATTTTTCTTCAATGCTCCAACAAGTCAGGAGAACGTTTCTTGAATCTACAGTGGGTGCTTGGTGCATCGTTCATTTTGTCCCATAATTAATGTTTCAGAATTTATCCCAACAGGAATAAAAATCTAGTGCAAATGAATGTTAGATTAAAAGAAATTAGTGTGTTAATACTTGTAAACAAGTCTCTTTTAAAATGTTCTTTCAGCACTAGGGATGTTTCTAAAATTTTAGTGCATAAAAAATGGAATCTTTTGTTTATTGATGCACTAAAATTATTTCTCATAGTTCATGTGCAGCTGAAAATTTATTTTAGTATGTAGGTGAAAAGAAATATTTATTGATGCAAAAAATGTTGAATATAAAAAGTCTGATGAAAAGTGATACAGTTCTGTATATTTGAACTTAGACGTTCTTTGTTAGATTTGATAGAAAATTGTATTACATGTATTCAATGCCTTGTTATGAATACAAATTGTCTGATATTTATTGCAAATGATTTTTACATTAATGCAATTAAAATCTTATTCTATAAAAATTGTGTTGTAATGCAAGCTTATTTTACAAGTCTCATTCCAACTGGTTTTAAACATTTGTCATCTCATTTTTTATTTATGTGTTAATTTTTACTTTCTGTGTTTTGTTTGTATACTTGAAATATTAAAAAGCAATTAAGCTGGAGAAATTTAGTGTAGCATAAAAAATTTTCTGTTGTAATTAAATGTCTTAAATTTCAAATGAAGAAAGTCAAAATAATAAAACTCAAAATCCTTAAAGGATTTGCAGTGGTTAATGTGTGAAATCTAAATAAGTCAGTTCTTTAGAAGCTTTAAGTAATATTGCATATTATAACTTAGAATGTTAAAATTATCATTAAATGTGAGAATTATTCATTTACTATTGCAGTCTTTCTCTTCTTCCCCCCCCCCTTGTGTTCTTTTTTCAAGTTTCCAAACAAGTTTGTGATTTCTGTATACTCTTGTTTTTTCATCTGACAATATTTGTGTACATGAAAAAAAATCAAAAATAGTTAATCCGAGATAAATGTGAATTGAAAATATTTTTTTGCTATAGGAAATTGATCAGAATAGTTTCATAAATATGAAAATAAAAATTGTATTAAATTCAATACCTAGGATATTAAAATAAAATTAAATCAGTGCAGTTATTTTTACATTCATAAATATGTTTAGTTCAACACATTACTTATTAAAGTTAATATTATTTGTATCAGATTTGATACAAATAATATTTGAAATGGCAGAATGTAAGTTAACCATACGTTATTCAAAAGAACATTGTGAGTTTTTTTAGGGGTTATAATATTTTAATTCATGTTTATTAATTTTTAAACTATTTCTAATTTTCAAATGCATTTTTGCATAATTATGAATTGCATAAAATTGTTTTCATGTAGAATTTTATGTCTTTATTCAAACAGTAAATTTAATATTTATTGGAATGGCAAACATTCTTTTACAAAGGTTTGTTCAGGCTGAGTGATATACTTGTTTATTATCTGTATATATCAAACATATTGTATATTAAAACTTGTGTTCTAACATATATTTACATATTGTTGATGAATTCTGTATCATTCAATTGGGGGGGAGGGGATATTTAATGGAGTGCTAATAATTTGACTGTAAAATGATTTTATAAATTTTACATATTTTTGAATCAGTTTTTTTCATTATATGTTTAATATGTGTGCCCTGTCATTTTTTCTTACAAAAATTAGCTCAATCCAAAGTTAACAGATAAAGACTTCTATAAATTCTAGTCTGTTCTTTATTCCTGTTTTGTATATTCCTAGTCGGTATGCTGTTTTTTTAGTCAAAGGTTATATGCTTTACTCACATTTACTTTTTGTTTAAAAGCCTTGGTTTATTGCAGGTTTTGTTTAAATATTTATTGTGTAAATGGCAATGTATGGTATTGTTCTTTGGTTAGTGATAAATAAATGTGTATCTCACCTTTCTTTTTTAAAATTTGTTTTGTGTTATAATAATGTTTAATTTTTTTTGTTATGAAATTTTTTCATGCATTCCCTGTATTTAAAATTCTAATTTTATTTTGAAGTTTGTCAAATTAATGTCAGATTGGAAATAATTCTTTATATGCTTGTTATGGCATATGATGTTCTGTTTCTTCATTAATGATGTAATAAAAATAGCATTTACAATTTAATAAAATTAAGAAGTCAGATGTCAATTCTAAACTTGTTTTATTATTCCATTCTTGTTCTGTATGTGAGTGTTTCTTAGGTAAGAATTGTTAAGCAGGCAGATCTTGACCGAATTTTTTGGAAACCATGATATTACTAATTAAGATGAGGAAAAAAAGTGTG